CTGCAGTGTGGTGAAACACAGTAACCTACTAACACTTTTCTTGAAGGGTAACAAGAAAGGCATCAAAGCAGGATAAAAAAATAAAACAAAAAAGACAACACAACAAGAGAACACAGGAAAATAAACGAGAAATTAAACTGAAAAAAGAAAGCAAGACCTTTGAAATTCACATTGAGGATCACATAAAATATGCTGGGTTTGGAAAGACTTGTCAAATCAGAGGTTAAGCAGGGCAGCACTTTTCATGTGAAAAATAACAGTGTGTATATGTTTAAACTGTGACACTAATCTACCTACCTACCTACGTACTTCTAATGAAAAATCTGTTTTAGGAGAGAAACATTTACATAGATTTAAAAAAATGATAATCAATATCGAAGGTTTACTACATAGACCACAACCACTTCAGTGATTTTAAGTAAAAAAATAATAATAATAATTTTTATTGAAGACGGAGAAGAATGTAAGCATATAAGCTATATATCTTTGAGGCAACGTCAATTTGAATGCAATTTTAGGATAATCTGTTATTGGGGCTATACTTTGAACTGAAACCTTATTGGGAAAACTCTGCAAATATCTTTGCTTGGCCCCCCAATGCTCCTCTGACCTCACAGTGCTGCTCTGACATCACTATGCTCCTCTCAGCTGACAGTGCTGCTACTGCTCCACTTAGTCATTGCACTGCATAGCAGCCAACTGAACCAGAGGCTAAGAGAGCAGTAGCAAATTCGTTATTTGGTATTACACAGATATTGATACCAGCTAAATATATAATCATGGCTGGACAACAGCCTAGGCAGGGAGAACCCTCTGAGCGCCAGGAGAAAGAACACCAAGGCGACCACCCCTGCATAATATGGACTGGGGGTTCAGAAAAAACGCCAGTGGTGAAATTTCAAGCAGAAGGCGCAACTGGAAAGGTATGCCTGCGTGAGGTGGGAGAACACTACCACTTGGCATACAAGATGGCTCGTATCGGGAATTGCCCGGTCAGCACAATGCTATCTGCTCATGGGTTTCAGAAAGTGGAAGCCAGCAGTAGCAATTTCAATTTGATGTGGACAGGACCATACATAAATACTTCTGTCTTTGCAAATCTTTCCAAATATCAGAAAATCAATCACTTCCCCAATTCTATGGAGTTGGGACGCAAGGATCTACTCTGCAAAAACATTCAAACCCTGCAGAAGAAACATGGGGCAAAGACATACAACTTCCTACCCCAGAGTTATTTACTTCCCAATGATAACCAGGAATTCTGCAAAGTTATTTCCAAGGATCAAGGCCCTTGGATCTCAAAGCCTGTCTCTGCCTGTCAAGGCCGCGGAATTCAGATAATCAATTCCTTCTCTCAAGTAAACAGAAGAGAAAAGCTTCTAGTGTCTCGTTATATAAAAAATCCACTTCTTGTTGACGGCTATAAATTTGACCTACGTTTGTTTGTACTGGTCACGTCATATGATCCACTAATCATTTACCTGTATGAAGAGGGTCTGACAAGGTTTGCAACCGATAAATACAATCCAACGGAGCAGAACATGAAAAACCAATTCATGCATCTGACAAACACCAGCATAAACAAAGGAAATGCAAATTATGTGAGGTCCACAAATCCGGAAGTGGAAAATCACGGCAGTTTATGGAGCATGGGTGCATTGCTGCGTCACCTAAAGGGATTGGGAAAAGACACAGCCACGCTCATGTCTAAAATAGAAGAGCTTGTTATTAAGACCATAATATCGGCAGAAGGCTCTATTGCCTCAGTGTTTCAGGGAACTCTCGCTCACAGAAGAAAGTGTTTCGAGCTGTATGGCTTCGATGTCCTAGTTGATGAAACCTTAAAGCCCTGGCTGTTAGAAGTTAATCTGATGCCATCTCTGGTTTCTGATGGACCCCTTGCGTTAAAAATCAAGGCAAATCTGCTTGCAGACACACTGACATTAATTGGTGTGCAGTGTCAAAATACCCAGCAGAATATAGACAAAGAAGGGCCCACAATAGCTGCAAACGTGAAAGCAGGATATCAAAATACAGCTGCTGGACAGACCGAAGCCTCCCTCTTCCAAGAGAGGATGAAGATAATTCGTGAAGTCAAGGAAGAGGAAGAGAGAAGAGGCGGTTTTATTCGTATCTTCCCCCACAAGGAGACATGGAAGCGATATAGCAATCTATTGACATACAAATCATTTAATAACATGCTGGCTTGTCATCTTTTTACAAAGAAGCCATCAGAGCCGGGATCCAGCAGTAGTGGACTTGGGCAACACTCTGCGTTGTATGAGCGAAAGCTGCCGCCACTGCGGACAAACCACGAGATGGCACAAGGTCAAGTCAGTCTATCTCATAGTAGAGCAACTCCCAAGGATGTAAGGAGACCCCTTAAAAACATTCAGCCTCGCCATCTGCATGCAGTGAAGACATCAGATCAAAAAGCCAGCAGTGTTGGTGTTGGGCATGAACAAAAGCAGCCATTACTGCAGACAAAGAAGTCAGTCAGTCCATCAAGATCTTCTCACATGAGCAGTGAAAGAGCTTCCAAGGAGGTGGAGAGACAAAGAATGCCCATTTTAGTGAAATCCAAACACTTAGATAACATTCGGCCTCACCATCTTCTAGCAACAAAGCTGTCAGATCAAAAATCCAGCAGTAGTGGACCCTCGGCGATGTATCAGAAAAAGCTGCCGCCATTGCAGACGAGCAGGCCTGTGGATCATGTTTTGACGCTCAAGCAAGTTACTAAAATTAATAGTAAAAAAGACTGCACACAAAAATCTGGGTATAATTCAGTCAGTCCATCTAAAGTATTTCACCAGAGCAGTGAAAGATTTCCCAAGGACATCGTGAGATGGGGACTATATGGCATCAGGAACTCTAGCAAGGACTCAGGAAGCATAAGACCAGTTGATCCACAGCCTCCTGTTCTGGAGTCCAGCCTAAAGTCAACTGCCAGAGCGAACATCGAATCTCTTCACCACCAGAGCAAGATCTTAGCAAGAAGAGGTTCCAATGAGCTATTAAACATCGTCACTGGCTTCTCGTCTACCTATCAAAATCTTCGTGCGGAACTCGATCGCCTATAGTGGGACCAGGATGCACCCGAATCTGACACAAAACCAAAAACAGGTACAATATTACAATGATATGTCTGCTTTTATTCTTACAGACAACCCCAAAAACATGAATTAAGACAAAATGTTAATATCTGTTAGACATTTATTTCAGCTATTGTAAAAGCTAATCTTATATTTATCTATAATATATTTCTATTCCATATTGCATATGGAGAATTCTCCATGGATAGCTAGCATCTTGATTGTAAAATGTATTTTATGTGGCATGGGTTTACCATTTTTCTTTCTTTTTTTTTTTAATAACTAGAACAAGAGAATCAAGAAAAAAATCTTCTGGATCTTTGTGGTTCGATTGTTCCTGAGGCATCTTTACTATCAAAGCCAGGTAAGACAGGTAGTAGCATTTCTACTGCTCAGTTAGCCAGAGACAGACAGACCTCAATCTGTGCTATCCTTGACCTGAGCACTTAAAGGGAAACTATAGTGCTAGGAATACAGAGTTGTATTCCTCGCACTATAGTAAGCTATAGTGCCCCATTCCCACACGCTGCCCCTCAGCAGCGCAGAAAGGGTTTACTTATTTCCTTTAATTAATATAACATATACACGCTGTTGCTCTTCACATGAAAAGTGCTTCTCAGTTTAACTTCCGGTTTGACAAGTGTTTCCAAGGACAGAACATTTTATGTGATGCTCAGTGTGAATTCGAAACATCTTTTTTTTTTAGCTTATCTTTTATTTTCATGAGTTCTCTTGTTATATTATCTTTGTTTTATTTTTTATCCTGCACTAATGCCTTTCTTGTTTCCTTCAAGGAGCACAAGGAAAGTGCTGACCTGCTTACTGTGTTTCACCACATTGCGGACACATACTTACAAACAGGTACAATGTTACAGTGATATGTCTGACTAGAGTTGTTTGTAAGACAAAAAGCAAACAAACCCAAAAGCATAAATTAAGACAAAATATTAATTTCTGTTAGACATACAGCTATTGTGAAAGCTAATCTTATATTTATCCATAACACATTTCTATTCCATATTTCATATGTAGAATTCTCCACGGATAGCTAGCATCATGTTTTAGATATTGGTTTTTAATGGGTTTTTTTTTTTGTTTTTTTTATAACCTTAGGTTGAGCTGATTGTAGGGATAATAAGAATATAATCTTCTGGAGCTTTGTGGTTCAAACTGTGTCTCTATCGAATGTGTCTGGGCATCGTTACCAGCAAAGCCAGGTAAGGCTCTAGTAGTAGCATTTCTACCGTTCAGTTCCCCAGAGACAGAGAGATCTCAATCTGTGCTGACCCTGACCGGAGCGCTTAAAGTGGAACCGTCACCTCCCAGGCGTTTAACTATTATGTTTACTTATTTCCTATATTTAATAAAGCATATACACGCTGTTGCACTCACATGAAACGTGCTGTCCTGCTTAACCTCTGGTTTGACAAGTCTTTCCAATGGCAGAACATTTTAAGTGATGCTCAATGTGAATTTTAAGTGTTTTGCTTTTTTTATCTTTTCTTGTGTTCTCTTGTTATGTTGTCTTTTTTGTTTTATTTTTTGTTTTATTTTTTATTCTGCACTAATACCTTTCTTCTTTCCCTTCAAGGAGCACAAGGAAAGTGCTAACCTGCTTTGAATGCGTCTTTACCAGCAAAGCCAGGTAAGGCTCTAGTAGTAGCATTTCTATTGTTCAGTTACCCAGAGACAGAGAGATCTCAATCTGTGCTGACCCTGACCTGAGCGTTTAAAGTGGAACCGTCACCTCCCAGGCATTTTACTATTATGTTTACTAATTTCCTATATTTAACAAATATGTTCTTGTGAGGTCTGACAAATGAAATTAAATACAGAAATGAACAGTACTGTATTTAACAGGGACAGTGCTGTGGAAACATTGGATATTATAAATAAAGACTTGAAGTTTCTTTTTATCTGAGGTTGTAACTTTTACGGTGGTCCATATTGTAATGCCAAATGTATGTATTGGAATCTAAGTTTCAATCTAGGAAGACGAATAGTGTTTGTCACTAACTATTTTCTGTCTTTTTCTTTAGTCAGGAACAAGCAAAAGGAGGATGACGATGACATGATAACTAAAAAGCTGCAATATACAATTTCAAATGCCCTGGGACTTCACCTGGATGATAAGACTGTTTGCCAGCTGGATCATGTCTACTGGATGAACATCTCCCATCAAATGCCACCCTTTTAAACTAAACTGCTACCGAAGTAAACTTTGTCCCAGGTAGAATTGGTCTGGGCAAGTTTAGAATCTCTGATTTGGATGATGAGTAATTCATCCCCATGTACGTGTAATGTGTAATTTTATTCCATGTGAGCATTATCATATAATAAAATGCCTTTATTGACAGACTGCAATCTGTATCATTGCATTTATATATAAAATATGCATTTGAATGCGAGTGTTAAACAGAAGCTATTAGAAATGCCCACATTTATTTCTATCTACCTGTCAACCCTTGTATAAACATATGAATGAGCATGTGTATGTTTGATTGCATGGCCAAATAAATTTTTGAAATCTTGTTTACTTGAACTCATACTCAGCAGAAAAATATAAAACAGTCTACAGACTGTGC